TGCGATAAATGGATGATAAATTTGTCAGTACAAAAGTCAAGTATCATGTGTCGCAGATGCTTGAAACCCGCACATACACTTAGCAGCAAATACCTCTGCGTACAGCAGTCTATAAGCGACCTCGGAATCAGATGTTCTTATACCTTCAGCTTCTCTGAACATAATGAGTACCAGATAGCAAGAGCTAAACTATCCGTGGCTAACATAACTCATAAGGTGCGTACAATCTCTTGCTCGTCCCAACCTTAAATATTACAGCATAATCTGTGGCAATATGGGGAAATCTCACAGAACAGCGATAGAACGTATTCAACGGTCATTTACTCAAGACCTATATGGCAAATTTTTTACCAAAAACTAACGGGAGCGTGACCACCGACTGCATCTCGTTCAGCTTCGCCATGAAGACTAAAACATAACTTGATAATGCTATACAATCCGGCTCATGGCAGCGCGTATTGCAATCTACTTACATTAATATTGCGGTACAGTTCCACGCAGGACCTTGGTAACAAAGACTTTGCCCTGGTTGTACCATCATGCAGGACAAATTTGCGGTTTAACATCTTTCTAACCAGATCTGCTGCTCTGTGGAACCGGCGCTCAATCACTACTGGATCGCGAGAGACTGCAAAAATTTCGCACTAAGCTGGGAAGCTAACTTGACCTGGACACCATGATGTCGTTATGTTCGTGCGGAAGATCACTTGACGATCTATTTAATGAAGGCCCAGATAACGTCTAACAAGTGTAATGCCACAACTTTACGCAATGTAATTAGCCATTAATGTTTGCAATATACTTGACCTACAAAAGGGCTTCCAAAAATCACATAAAACAAACATGTGAGATAAATCATGCCAGTAAGAACATAATGGTGAATGGTACATTGCGGAGATAAAAGCTTAAGCTTGACACGTCCCGCCGGATGATCGGTTAGGGGTGAGCAAAATAAAGGCAAAAATAGCAATAGGAAATAGTTTTATGTATTATCTAAACTTATCTTCTGTAGTTTCCAGACAAAAATGGAGGTGAGTTGATTTCTTTTTGTTTTTCTGTCATTTTTAGGGATATTTGGGTTACTCACTATGATGTAGATGGCCAGTGCATCGTCAACACGTGCTATAAACACGGCTAACGTGGGAGCTGAAATAACAGCTTCCGTGGGGGTATTCCAGGTGTGGCAAACACCCAACAAGAAGTTTATTCGGCACTCCAACCGACTCTATTGTTCCGCCGATTGCAGATAATGACCTCTCAGGTTGTTTTGTAGCTCAGCTTCAGTAGGTGATGGCATTGGTGATTAGGGTTGTTTAGAATGCGGTAAACCATGAGCAGATTTTCACCCAAACGTCGATAACGTCCGCTGAAAATGCCAAAATCTGAGGCGCTGTTCGTATGGCACGTGGCTTAGCCCCTTGACATTTTTGGTCGGCCGACGTTGCCGAATATCCAAGGTAGTAAGATCCCGCTTTATATTGCCTATACAAAAGCATGTTCTCACCTGTACATATATGATCTGTGCCAAGTATAAAAGCAGCTAATTAACTGCATGAAATATATCGACTATTATTATTAATAGTAGTCCTATTGGTAGCAGTAGTGGTAGTAGTATAGTAATAATAATAATAGGTATATTTCTCTTGATGTGAGAAGCTGTGTTTATGGCGGCACAGATCAATCTGTACAGAAGAATCCATGCTCTTGCATGAGTGACATGCATAGGTGGATTATCGGGATATGCGTTTCATGTATTAACATTCTGGTGGATGCTCGAGGCCAAATCTTAGTTATGAAAAGTTTGGTGTTCATATGTTGTTGGGCCCCTCTTGGAATAGCCCATCGAGGGAATTTTACCATGTGAATATAAAGCTTATGGTAGTTAGATCAAGATAATTAGCTAGTCCGCCACTAAATGTTGCCACCTTGTCACACGACCTGAGTATCATTGGTAGTTTATTCCACAGATAGCTGTATCTGACCAGGAAGAAATTAGAACGGACATTCGTTCTAGCGTTCGGTATATTCAGAGTAAAATATTTGTTGCGAAGCGCTCAAGTTGAACAATGTTGTAAATTGAGTGTAGGCAGGTTGGAATAGGTCTTTATGTGTGACATGTTGAAAAGCAGTAACAAGTTGTGCTTCAATCGTCGAATCCAAAGTCGTAGTAGTAGTAGTAGTAGCAGTAGTAGTAATCGTAGTAATCGTAGTAACCGTAGCAGTAGTAGTAGTAGTAGCGGACATTGATTGTGGCACTCACATGATACTGGAGCAAGAGAGGCGCTTAAAAATGTCAATGTAAGAGTAGACTGCATTAAGGATCAGAGTAACATCGATGATGAAGCCGTGGAATATAGAAGTGTTCAGTTTGTTGCGTTTCCTCAGTACACAGTTGTTGTTGATAACACTGTGGTTGGCACAGGTGTGTACAATGAACAATGCGTTATCGCAGGATAAAAGCATGCGATTAACACATTCCATACGATGGTTGGGGTGAATACAATGAAATCAAAATATATGTGGCACATCCACCGATCATCTACCGAAATAAATGCGTTGATATTTAACAATGTTGTGAAAGAAAATCGAGTGGAACCATACAAAAGTGCACGAATTGCAGTGATGGTTGATGTAAAGCGTGAGAAAAGTAAAATACGGTCGCTCAATTATGCGCCGCCTCCTTGGGTCCACATGACACATAGATCCGAGAGAAGAGTTTGATTTAATTTACCGGAAAAGTTACCTCACCAGGCTATCTCCTCTGCAGTGGCCAACGATTGTCATATTGCAAGACTGAAGTTTTCTTGCGTGAGGCTGCGAAATAGGTCGTCGAAGCAGGCTTGTTCAATATTTTTTAAATTTTCAAACGACACACGTTGAAAAATTCATTTGTAGTAGGTGTTATCCCTTGGGAATGATTACATATCGGTGGTGCTGAAATCAGATTTAACATTACTAAAAAGTAAGTGCAAAAATGCCTATTTCCGACAAACAGCTTATGACAAATTTGTTCCGCTACCCACAGAAACTCGGGAACTTCCCCGCCTTGTCGACCTAGATGACACTTTGACCATAAATGAATCAACTCTAAAGTTGAAGTCAAATAGCAACTGTCGTAAAAATATCGCTTCTGATTCCACTCAGTGTCACGTTAACCCAACTCGTCCCCGAACATATAAGAAAGTGCCATTGCGCAAATGACTATTTCTACTCTTTGTCATTCACCAACCAGGTGCATAGACGCTCTGGTACGAAACCGAAAACCTCCAAAAAGCTGTACACCTCTCATAGATAAAACACTGCGGAACAGCCATGTAAAGAACACTGGTAGTACAGACGCGTCGCGAACGGATTCAGGAAGTGATGGTGCGTCCTGGGAGGGAAAAAGGGCTCCCATCTGTGTTTGTGTGAATGAGTTAATTACCTGTTGACGCGTCAATAAAGATTGTGCTTCATTACTGAGTCGTTCTGCTACACTGGTGCCGTGATCTTACGAAATGAAGTTGCTCTGGCCAGCGCAATTTGCGGACAGGGACGTGGAGAGTTGGGTTGAATAAGCTGATGCCATCGCGTTATATAACGGCATCAAAGGCCATGCAAATTTACTAACAGCGCTGGGCACGTTGCTGACGGGAAGAACAAAGGCTGCCTACATGCTAACTCGTGAGGGAAAACCCAGTTGTTCCTTCACAGATATAAAAGCGGCGCTGTGTGCGGAGCATGGGAAGGAAGTAAACAGACAGCTGGCACTGGAGCGGTTCCACTGAGCAAGGTGGGAGAAGAAAGCGGACCTCATGGTATTTCCCAGGGAGCTGAACAGGCGCTTTACGATGGGGCTGCTAGAGTTGCAAGAGGAAAATGGGAACAACTGCTAAAGAAGCCATTTATCCGAAGTCTGTCTAGTTCACTGGAAGAAGGCAAAATTAGCAGCGATGGTGGGAATCAGCAGAGCGGAAGAGCCGATGGATATTGACCAAATTTTTGGAGCTGGTGTCAATGAGGCGAATCAAACCTTCGGAGCTGGGGTGCAGGGTTTAGCAACTGTCTTAGGTGATGAAAAGGTTTTTTCGATGTTTACCCCGAGAACAGGTAATCAACGCAAGATATACGGAAGCCAGGAGGGTCCATGATGCTTTAGATGCAATCGGGCTGATCATCGAGCCGGAGATTGTAGGAACAAAACCTTGTATTAGTGCTTCTCGTTGTCAATGCCCAGCAGGTTGTGGGTACCGGTGCTCGAAGTATCAATTCAAGGCGTGGCAGTTCTTGTCATAGTAGACACGGGGGAAGGTGTGTCCATTACGAAGAGGTCTGACCTTGTTCCTGTGACTCAGCCATCAATCGTGATGCAAACGGTCGAACATCGCTTGAAATTGATGGGGTGCAGCGGTTGCGAGTGAGAATGGGGGAAACGCTCATGAGCCATTCGATATTAGTCAGGGATTGAACATAAGCATTTAGAAATAAAACTTTTATTTTTCGAGGCTGCAAGGCACAGTCAAACTGAGTGGTTTGAGCAATTTATAAATAAATAATATATAAATAAAATGTTAGTTCTCGTCCATGCGAGGCACGCCTGGACATACATGATCATGGTAGGAGTACAATAAGTGATCAGCTAATGTACAATGGAACAATAAGATTATCACAGATGTTCATATATGGAGGTATGTTTGTGTGCGTGTAGACGTCTTATGTACGACACAGCATTCAACTTCGTGCTTCCTCGGCAGCCATTTTTATTTCCCTGTGGGGTTGTTCTCAGTTCCTGCTATTGCGCTGTTATTGTCATTTATCTCTGTGTGTACACTATACTTGCGAATGCTTGGTTAGTTAATGTATCTGTTCACTACACCTTTTACCCTTCAGGAAGACCTCCCCGTGGTCCGAAGCTCATCTGGGGAAGATCATGGCCTAGGGGACTTGTGGTCAGCTTGGCTTGTATCCCTGAAGCATGATTAATCAGCTGCATATTGGGATCAGCTGTCAAGTTCTGATCAATGTCAAGTAAATTTCATGTATCCGACTCTGTTGAGACTTCTAAACCTACTCCAAAGGATTCCGGCATCATATCGGACCCAAACCAAATTGCTCAATCTGCTCCCATCACTTCAGAACCTTCAATTAGCTTTGATAACGCAACCCACATCACTATTCAACTTCCTGATGGAATGCAGGAGTCCACACTTAGCCAACAACAGTTATGCGATTTAGTTTTGCAGCTTTCGCAAAGTGGCCAGATGGATCACCGCGAGTACAGGAAAATTGTGACCGATGTACGTGTTTTACTTACCTGGTCGCCTCTTTAACAATGATCATTTAACCTTTTGTCGTTATTCTTTGACTTTCACTAGTCATCGGAAACAATACCTTGGCCTCGTTAAGTTTATTTAGGATCCGATAAACAATGTTCCTACTTCGTATTGTTGGGCCAGCAGTTGGATTGTCTTTTGAAGTGGCTTTACACGTGTCCTCGCTTTCGTCCTCAGTGGTTCTAGCTAAATTTCATTCTTGCGATCGATACTGGAACTATTTTGATGAGCATTATATAGGCAATCTAGGTCACTTGCAAAAAAATATTTGTTGTCTATTTGAGCAACCTTTGATGTTGATTTACCTTTGATGTTGGAATGGCATTCGAATGGTTTTCATAGTTTTGGAATAATACGTCAGTTAAACTGAACAAAACGTTCGTTTGAGCTTCAGCTGCGGTACGCCAACTCTCTGCTGTGCGATCATTGACATTTTCTACTCCGGCACACTAACACTGTTGCTAAATTCGTGTGGACGGATGCTTATGGTACGTGATCAATTCTTGTAATATGGAAGATCTGTAGTGCATAACCTTCGCTGACGCAGCCCGCTTGGCGTCCATCCTGATAGCACGGGTGTCTGCCTAGTGATCGATTTCCGATCAGTTTTAATCCGTTGATAGTCGGAAACCCGCCCAAAGAAATCTAAGACGGAACAATCCTCGGATGGAAGTGGAAAACAAAAGATTTTGATAACGCTTATCAATGCTCTTTTTTACCGCCCCCAATCATATTTCTTATGAATTTCTGCATCTGCAGCGCCTTATGCTGAATAAGCCCGCGGAACTCTGACAGTAGTACAGAACAGTGTATTCCGGAGGCGAGAAACATTTTCTAGGTTATTCTAACGCGAGTATGACAAAGTGACGTACTTAGCAATGCTAGTCATGTTTTTGCATAGAACTAAGGGATTTTAACGTAGGGGCTTACATTTCTTACATACCGATTCACTCGGACATCAGACGGAAATCGAACACTTGACCGTCAGAAGGTGATATCAGGACAACTGGTGCCCTAGATGCACCCGAATGTAGTCCTGATGACACATCTTCGCTAACTCATCGAACAATCAAGAAATGATCCACGACTGTTCGTTACATCGATTCTCTTGTTCCGTTTCCTTATTTAGTTCACATTTCGAGCTAACCACCAGGCTTTCGCTTAAAGAATTTCTTGCTTCTTATACCGGTAAGTGAATAAAGGACCTAGACACTGGGACGTTTGCTCACCTCTCCTTGCTTTTGCAGAATGCAATGAAGCGAGAAAGAGAGCAACCTTTGTATTTTCATGGATCATCATAAGATATCACTACATTAGGTATCGCTGCTAAATTGCAATAAAATTATAGTAGGTGTGGAAATAGATAGGACCAACAGTACAGTTTTGCAGTTTATTGACTCAGAAAGTAATTTGTTCCAGCAGCGTACCATATGGTTCGTACAACACTTCTCTCCGATATCCAATCCAAACCTCTGTTGTTTGCGCTTCAAACGATGTCCACGCAAGTGATCGGAAGCAACAGGATCGAGTAAATCAGCAGAGTCGATGCCACTGAGGCCTTTCATTATTTTAAGCGTCTCTATCAGATCACCTCCACGTCGCTCCACGGTAAACAGCCTCAAGCTCTTTGTGCGATCTACGTAGGACTTCCCATGTTGATCTTATTTCGTCGTGACTGCCATTTTTTGAATATTTTTCCGTGCAAATAACATCATCAAGGAGATGCAGCGACCACGCCTTAACACAATACTCCACATGTGGTCTAACCACTGCTTGATACAATAGTAGAAAAACTTCTGGCTTGGTGTTGTCTAGTGCCCTCTTGAGACGAAACAATTCTTGTCGCTCTGTGTTGGCAGCATGAAGTCACTTTATCGAAGACTTGAAACTACTCACCACCGTGACGCCCAAGCCACATGCACGCTTAATGCTCTCCAAGGAGTAAAACCCGGATGAAGTCGACATTGCAATCCCGTCGCCATTAGTGATTAATGGTTGATATTTGTTAGCATACAGGGGCAAATCCCACTGATTCGACCAAGTAACCACGCTGATGATATCTTTGGTCAGTGTTGGTCGATTGCCCTTGCTGACCACCTTTAAGTTCTCTACAAATATCTGATAGGGGTATTCAAAAAGTGGGTCTAGGTCGTTAGTGAACCTAAGTAATAGGGGACCTAGTGCCGAACTATGGGGGACGTCACTGTACGCAAGGCCTATACGAGGACTCACAACACTGATACCGTGCTTTCGCCTGATAACTAAGTTTCAAGCATATTTTAGGTAAACCCACGAGTGTGTTTTCAATGAATACATCCCATTCAGTAGTTCAAAATGCTTATAAACAGTGAGTTAATTTTCCGGCATCATAGTTTACAATTTCAGCATAGATACCCCGACTCAATTCCATTCCTTCAGCATACACGTTATTTGGAGGTGGAAAACGCCGCTATGGTACCGCAGTACATAAGATAAGAAGGAAAACATGCAACTAATACACGCCAGCTGAGCCACCAGCAACAGATGGTCAACGTTGGCAAAGCTACCAGCCGGCTATTGTGCTCACGAAATGAGATCGTGGTTGGGGGATACTAAGCGAGAGGGTATGTACAAAGGAACTCAGAACACATGCGCCGCTGAGGTTGGCTCCTATGCGTGTCAACAAGTGTATTCAACCAAATGGGTTTATCGTCTTTCGGACCCCAACCAGGGAGGTTAGAAGCTCCAACCAAGGCTAAGACTGTTGGTAGCTAGATCATGAAAGACGGTTTATCCACTGCTGTTGTGCTATGGGTTCATGTCCTGGACGCCTCCTCGTGGCGACCGCTGGGTAAGAGTTGGCTTACGCTCTTCTCGTAGCTAAGAGCCAGGACACCAAACCGCATGTATCACTGAACTGATCATATGCCATCCCCTCTGAGTTTTGGGCGTACATTTAACCAAAGGCTTTAGCTGAAAGGCGAGTCCTTCTCCTGTAAGGTGCGGGCCCCCTGCCAGTATCCTAGTCCATCCTCTTCGGTGGTTAACTAGCGGTCCATGGCTCTTTTCCCATAAAACCTAGCCATGGGAGACAACAGGTCTACGGGTTCTAAGCTCCCACCTGGATTGGCGTAGTGAGCGAGCGCCACGCATTGACTCTGACAGTAAAAGGGCAGCTCGGATGCTCAATTGTTGGCTACTGCTCGACTCAAGCCAGGCAGCCCCTGCTCACGTTGGTGCAAACCCGCCAAAACCCACCTGCGTCTGGCCGTGGTCGCAGGTGTATCCTACTACGGTCGCAAAACACATATGAATCGTTCCAGGACCTTAAAGACTGCGTGTGACGGCCGTCAAGCATATCCCAATCTGTCTCTGCAATCACATTCCTGAGCTGGATCTGCTCCCCACTACCTTGTGGGTCAGGCTATTGAGTCAAAGACTCCCGGCGGAGTTCCCCAAGCAAAACTCCGAAGCACAAGCGCCACCACGCGTGCGATTACCCACCAGGACAATCGTATGCCTGCGCGCAAAGCACTCAGCACCGGGTGATGAAACGTACGCGCACTACTGGACAGGAACTCGACTGAGCGTTAGGAGCGACGCACTGTACTGGTCGCGATGGAACCGGTGCGCTACGACATCGATATTACGGCGCTCTGTGAGACCCGGCTCGCTGAGCGAGATAAGTTGTATTAAGTTGGCGTTGGCTATACCTTCTACTGGGCGGGCAACGCCACCTCAGCACCACGTGGAAATGGGGTCGGATTTGCACTATCCGATCGCCTAAATGGCCAACTGGTGAGTGAATCGACTGGCATCAGGCAGCGACTGATAACTGCTCGCTAGGACTCGGAAGATGTAAGTTTGTCACTTTTCCTGATGACACGCGTGATCAATCCTACATTCAGTTATCCACATGATACGGTCTGTGTCGAGGAGCGACCGACCATTTCTGAGTGATTTCAACGCGCGCGTTGGGAGTGATGCATTGGTGTGGTCAGCTGTCATCGATCCGCATGCATTGGTTCAACGAATGCGAACGATGACAGGCCGTCCCCACTGTGGGCCGCTCACGGCCTGACGATCAGGAACACTCGGATTGCACTGAGCGCGAGTGATATAGCAAGTTGGACGCACCCCCGGAATGGTCACGATCGCCTGCTCGAGTATGTCATCGTATGTCAGCGTGACATGTGTGAAGTGCACATGTCACGTGTACTGCGTGGAGCTGAGTGTGGCACTGATCACAAATGGCTTCGGACCAAAATGTACATAAATTTCCGCAAATCTATATATTGCACTCCTGCGTGAATCGGCGTAAATTGAACATTCTCACCCTCGGTAATGGTGCGAAACCTATTGAGCTGGAGAAGACGATGGCTGTACGCTTGTGTGCTATGGAATCCATAGCCACAGTGGGCGACCTGTGGCACCACATTCGCGACCAGATGACAGCTGCTGTCAAGGAGACCATCGGGTGCGCAAACTGTAAGCGTCCTGATTGGCTTGATGAGAACATTGCGACGATTGGCGCATTAGTGTGTGAGAAGAATGCAGCATTTGCTGCACATTTGGCAGACCTCACTGATTTGGGAAGAAGAGTCAGTTTCGATGGAGAATGAACCGACACTTCCGTCGCATAAAAATGCATGGTGGACGGAGAAGGCAATGCAGTTGGAATACTTCGCCGAACGCCGCCAACACAAGGAATTCTTTGACTCTTTGAAGGTAGTGTTTGGACCGAGATTGAAGACGCTGAGGATGATAATCGATGGTAGATGGGGCGCGACCTGCACACAGACCGTAGACATAACGCTGATCTGGCAAAGATCACTTTGACTGTCTCTTGAACAATCGTTCAGAGATCGACTGGCCTACATTGAATTGCCTGAAGCATCATGATATAAAGGTGAGTTTGGCGGACATGCCGACACTGGATGAGACGCAGCTCAGCTGCGAAACGGCAAGTGCGCCGGGGCCGACGGGATCCCGCCTGAAGTATTGAAACACTGCGGACC